CGTTTCTAGAGGCTTAAATATGAGGCACCATAAGTGGATTTCAGAGCATAGCACTAACAGCCAGATTAGTGGCTGATTAATTTCCCTCATATTAGCAACACGTAGATAACTGCTTTTAAGAGCTTTTAATGAAATACCTCAAGGAACCAGGAACAAGCATCAAAATCTACCTCAATTAAGTCCTGTATTATTATTATTATTTTTTAATATACAAGACAATTTTCATTTAACTGCTTTTTCCTGGTCCTTCTTTCCAAATTGCTTTAATAGCCTTTTTTTCCCGATGATGCTGATCGCCTCTTATATTTATGAGAGTGCATGATACAAATTATTTTGTACTTGGCATATGCGTGTATTAATTTAATGAGGAAAAAAATAGAAGGCAAGGATTAAAATGACAGCGAGATGTGGACTTTTGGCTGGGGGGGACTTAAAATGAAAGCACTGAAAATGGAAATAACTTGTTATAAATGGAAATTGTTTTTAATACATTGGCTGACCTCAGAATAACAAAATAACCTTTGGGGCAGCCATGAGCTGGATGACTGAAAATTTCCATAGACATCTTCTTCAAATGGGAAATATAACAGAATAACAGAGTTGGAAGGGACCTTGGAGGTCTTCTAGTCTAACCTCCTGCTTAAGCAGGAAACTCTATACCATTTAAGATAAATGGCTGTCAAATCTCTTCTTAAAAACTTCCAGTGTTGGAGCATCCACAACTTCTGGAGGCAAGTTGTTCCACTGATTAATTGTTCTCACTGTCAGGAAATTTCTCCTTAGTTCTAGGTTGCTTCTCCCCTTGGTTAGTTTCCATCTGTTGCTTCTTGTCCTGCCTACCTCAGCTGGGGAAGAACAGACAAACCATCATCTGTTTTGCTGATAAACCTACATTGTTCAAAAGGTGGACCTTTGCCTACTAAGGATATGCTTGCATTACTAATTTTAAGTTCTTCCTATCTCCCATTCCCGTCTCCTTATCTAAAACAACATTCTGTGTGATTTGGAAGCTCCCTTTTTAACCAAACTGTGGACAGTTAAAAAAAAAAAAAGAACCAGAGGTATTTCTGGAATTCCCTCAATGTTCTTCAGAAGATAAAGTGTGGTGGGCATCCATTTCAGTTCCCATGGCAGTACCCAATCAACAGCATACTGTCAAAAGAGGATTATGAAATTCTTGCTGGAGAAAAGTGGTGGAGAAATTTCACAGGTAGGACACCCAAATTTCACAAGTGGGACACGCAATATCAGTTCAGCGATTGTAGGATGATGGTATTAAGGTGTCCTGCTTGAGCAGGGGGTTGGACTAGAAGACCTCCAAGGTCCATTCCAACTCTGTTATTCCATTAATCTTGTGATGGATAGACTGTGCATTGTCCTTGTGAATAGGGAGGGCTTAGCTGTAATAAAAGGGACGTGGTAGCTCAGTAGCTAAGACGCTGAGCTTCTTGATCAGAAAGGTTGGCAGTTTGGCGGTTTGAATCCCTAGTGCCATGTAATGGAATGAGCTCCCATTCCTTGTCCCAGCTTCTGCCAACCTAGAAGTTCGAAAGCATGTAAAAATGCAAGTAGAAAAATAGGAACCACCTTTGGAGAGAAGATAACAGCGTTCCATGCACCTTCAAAGGCATTTAGTCCTGCCAACCACATGACCACGGAGATGTCTTTGGACAGCACTGGCTCTTCTTCAGCTTTGAAACAGAGATGAGCACCACCCCCTAGAGCTGGAAACGACTAGCACGTGTGTGTGAGGGGAACCTTTACCTTTAGCTGCAATCCCTGACTCTCTTCCTGTGGACCTTACTCATCACAGGATTAGTCTGAGTAAAACCTAACAAAACCCAAAGTGATTGATGGGTCCTGATTTTTTTCTCCCTAATTTTAAAATATTTGGGACTCCGGAGAAGGGTTTATCAGTGGTTGCATCCTACACAGATCACAGAGAGGGCTCATTCCATCATTTCTACCTAGATTTAATTGTCTTGATGCCTTCCAAAATTTCACATGGGAAGGTTAACTCTCTTATGGATGAATATCTGTGGCACCATATTAAGGGGCTTCAGGGGGCTGATGGAGACTGACAGGTGTCCGCCCTTGTGAAATGGTCTCTCTTTCCCTCCCTGCTTCTTTTTTACATGCTGATTCAGTCTTTTGTTTCTTTCTACTATGTGTGTGTGTTATATAATACACAAAGGAAACCCTTGCTCCTAATCATTGCAGATGTATTCTTGATGCCCATGTGTGTGTGTGTGTGTGCGTGTGTGTGTGTGCGTGTGTGCATCTCTCTTCCATTTCTGTGTGAGTCTATCTTTTTTTTGTCAAGCTGTGCCCATCCTTGACTCGTGAATTATGCACACTATTCAAGGCAAAGTAAAAGGCCGAAGCAGTGAGCATGCAAAAAAAATCAACACAATCAGGATCTTCATTATTCTGTTGTCTTCCTGTGGAAGACCTTAACAACATGCTCTGGATCAGGGGTCGGCAGCCCACAACTCTGGAGCCACATGTGGCTCTTTCATCCCTCCACTGGGCTCCCTGTCACTGGTCAGCTCCACAATTGAAAGGGCTTTTGGTTAGGACAGGTTGCCATGCTAGGAGGAGACTCTATGGTGGGGGAACCGTACTTCCGGTTGGCAGAGAAAAAAGGACACCATGCTAGGAGGAGGAGATTCTATGGTGGTGGTGGGAAGTGGACTTCCAATCAGCAGAGGAAAAAGGATGCCACACTAGGAGGAGACTCTATGGTGTGGGAACCAGACTTCCGATCAGCTACAGAATTGAACAGGGACTTCCGGTTAGGACCTTTGTGGCTCTTTGAGTGTTTAAGGTTGCCGACCCCTGCCCTGGATGGAGAGCTTATGAAATTGCATTCCATAAATGTTTTCAAAGATAGTAACTAGGTGACCGAAGTTTCTGCCCTGCAGAATTCTAACTGGAGAGTATGATTGGTGACTCTTGGCTATGGATGTGTCCCATTGGAGAATATGAATTACAATACACCCAGGGGGTGGAGGGAAACCAGGGTCAAGGGTGACAATGAATGTTGTGCCTCAGAGTCAGCTACAGTCAGGCAGTGCCGGACATGTTAACTCCCAATAAATTCTTTTGAAATTTTGGAAGTCTGGCTCGAGACTCATGATTTAAATGGGGGGTAACTGCCGGAACCCTGACATCATACTTGCAACTAAGGCAGCTGTTTGCAGCTGGCTCTACTCCTGCACTTTCCAAGTTAACATTCAGTTATTCTCGACGTACGACCACAACTGAGCCCTGGATTTATGTTGCTAAGTGAAACATCAGTGAAGTTAGCTCCATCCCACTTTACAATTTTTCTTGCTACAGTTGTTTAGTGAATCACTGTGTTGTTAAGTGAGTGACAAGGTTGTTCAATGAATCTGGCTTCCTGGTTGACTTTGCTGGTCAGAAGTTTGCAGAAGGGGACACTGCAATCATCATAAATACGAGTCAGTTGCCAAGTATCCAAACCACAGGGATGCCGCAAGGGTCATAAGGGTGAAAAATGATCATCAGTCTCCTTTTTTCAGTGCCACCGTAATGCCAAATGGTCACTAAACGAACAGTTGTAAGTCGAAGATGACCTGAAACATTTGACTCCCAGCTCTATTCTAGGATGGATGAGCAGAAAGTCAAAATTTATGCTGTCGCTGCACTAAAATTGCTTGCTCTTCCCTTCCCAGTGACTCAGGGCACATTTATCTTCATTTCTGAAAATAACATGGTTTTATTTTCTCTGTTGAATTAGGATGAGGTAGGGTCTTGGGCATTTTGGCGTTTGCTTATTTATTAGATAGACTAAATTAATCATTTTCTGCCCATGATTTACAGAGGCATTATTTTCTGATTTAAATCGACATTAATACCTGGGCATTGTTGACTTGACAGATTGGTAAATGCAAAAAATCACTTTATTGTTTGCAGTTTAAAAACTGGAATCCTTTTTTTGGTGGGGGATGGGGGGCAATTATAGTGTAAAAATCATATTTCTGATTTTGGTCTTCCTGATTTTGACCTCCCCCTTGTGGGTACCGCTGAGTTTGGCTCATTTTCCCACCCACAGCAAAGAAACTGCTTGGATAATTTTCAATCACTGCATTTGCTCAGATCTGATAGGGCTCTCAGAAGAAATTCCAAGAGGCTGTTAAATAATACAAAATAACAAAAAGAATTCAGAGGTTGCAGAAGGTCCATTGTGGCACAGATCCTGACTTTCTGATCCTAAAAGGTGACAAAAGAGAGGAAGGAAGAAGCAAAATAAAAATAAGGAAGATATTAAATACTTCCCATAAAACACTGGTTACTTGGGCATGAATTCGAAACTCGAAAACAAAGTAAATTTATCAAGGCCTTAGACCAGTATATAAATATAAACTCTCTTGTAATTAATTAATATAGTGATAACGGAAAGGAAGGAAGGAAGGAAAGAGAAAGAAAAGGATGGGAAAAAAGGAAAAAGAAGGAAGGAAATGGGAAAGGAAAAAAAGAAGGAAGGAAGGCGGTGAGAGAAAGGGAAGGAAGGACAGGAGAGATGGGAAGAAAAGGAATGAGGGAAAAGAAAGGAAAAAGAAGGAAGGGAAATGAGAAAGGGAAAAAGAAAAGAAAGGAAGGGTGTGAGAGAAAGGGAGGAAGGCAGGAAGGATATTTTAAATAAAATTCTGTTGACTTTTCAGCTGACAAACCATGTTTTGCTGCCTTTAGCATTAGTGATCCTATAGTCTACCAGGAAAAGAAATTTGGCTGAGTCTAAAAATGCACATTTGCTCACGTCCAACCATGCCAAGTTTTTACGGGAGAGCCTGGGCAAGCAGAAGAACGGGATAGAAAAATGGGACTGGAGCAGCTTCACAGCACTATCAAAGCAACCTCTGCCTCGGTCTTCCCCCTGCGGGAAATAATCTGTCAGGCTTCCTGCAACCCTCTGATCTTCCTAGCTGGGCACCATTGATCTGATGATTTCTTCTCTTTCTCTTCTGTTTCTGTAGGATAAAACGGTGGGTGGAGATGATGCAGGAAGACCTCGTGCGGCTGGTGAGAACAGCCAGTGGAGTGGATGACCTCGTTCAAGTAAGTGGCTCTTCCCTGGGCTTTTCTCTACCAATGAAAGCGACTACTGTGTTTTCCCAGAAAATAAGACCCAACTGGAAAATAAGCCCTAGCACATTTTTTTTTCCAGAATACTCTTAATAAAAGCCCCAGTTAAGATTGTCAGCCAGACACATTTAAAAATGTATTTTCCCCAAAATAAGATCTAACTGGAAAATAATCCCTAGCATGATTTTTTCAGGATGCTTGCAATATAAGCCCTATCCCAAAAATAAGTCCCACTTAAGATTGTCAGCCAGACGGATGCATTGAGTACCATATTTTCCCCCAAATAAGACATAACCAAAAAATAAGACCTGATGTGTCTTTTGCAGCAAACAATAATACAATATCTGATCTTATTTTAGGAGAAACATGGTAGCATAATAAAGATAATCCTCAACTTATGATCACAATTGTGCCCAAAAGGTATGTTGCTAAGCAAAACCTTTGTTAAGTGAGGTTCTCTCCCCATTTTACAGCCTTTCCTGCCGTAGTGGTTAAGTGAATTGTTGCGGTTGCTCAGTTAGTAACCTGGTCGTTCAGTAAATCTGATTTTCCCTGCTGACTTTGCTTATCGGAAGGTCATGAAAGGGGATCACGTGGCCATCGCAGGACGCTGCAACCGTCATAATTGGGAGTCAGTTGCCAAACATCTGAATTTTGATCACGGGACCTTGGGGAGGCTGTAATAGTTGTAAGTGAGAAAAATGGACTCTCTTATAATGGAAGTCACTTTTTTCAGTGTCATTATAACTTTGAATGGTCACTAAGCAAATTGTTGTAAGTCGAGGACCACCTGGAGATGACTTTTTACTAAAGTCCTTCTGTTAAATGGAATAGAGGATTGTTTTCCAGGTAGTTCTCAACTTAACTGTTTGTTTAGTGACCATTCAAAATTGTGGTCATAAGTTGAGGACCACCTATACCTTCCTCTTAAATAGAAGGAGGCTTGTCTGGGAGACCTTTCTGTTTTGATTCAGTCATGTGCCTTCACCTAATTTGAGACCAGCCTTACAGATGATCCTCAACTTATAACCATTCGTTCCAAGTTAACAACAGCATTGGAAAAAAAAAACCTGACTTGTGGCTGTTTTCCACACTTACGACCACTGCAGCATCCCCACGGTTGTGTGAACAGCATTCTGATGTTTGGTAACTGATTCGTATTGTGACAGCTGCAGTTTTCAGATGGTTTCCAAACCTCTTTCTTGCCTTTTAAGCATCCTGTTTCTGTGCTTTTGTGTGCCTTCATTGCTCACCCGTGCTTGCAACCATATGCTCCACAAACCCAAAGACACATCAGTGTTTTAAAAATAAATCTTGAGTGTGTGTGTGTGTGTGTGTGAGAGAGAGAGAGAGAGAGAGAGAGAGAGAGAGAGAGAGAGAGAGATGGAGCCTGGGCCGTCCATCAGCCCTCAGATGGAGAGTCAACAGTCCCCAGGTCTGGTTGTAGCTGATGAGGAAGAAGAGGAACAGCTGGGTCCAATGCCTGACACACAGAAGGCAGAGGAGAGGAGAGCAGTGGAAATCTATGGGCCAGTCCTTGAAACGGAAGAGCCACCACTGCTAGCGAAGCCCCACCCTAGCTCTAGGTATAAAAGGCAGGGAGTAGAGATGAATAGATGTGGCAGACAACTATTCCTCTCCTTGCTGGTAAAGACTTGTTAGCCTGTGGAGAGAAATAATTTTTTTTTGCTGGGGGGGTTTGTGCTCCTAATCAAGGAATCATTGCTTTAACTACAGAGGGTTTGTTGTGTTTGGAGAGCTGAGTCACAACAACCCCCCAGGCTGCCTTCGTAGAGAAAGTTGCTGCATATTTATTAATTGACTTACTGTCTGCAGACTTCGTTTGGTCAAAGACTAGTTTATTGTTCGACCCCCCAAAAAACCAAAACAAAACCCTAATGTTTAATCAGGTGCCAAAGGCAGGGACTTACGATGTTCTCTGGCAGCAACCAGCTTCTTTGCATTACGCTGCCTGTCCAGGAAACATGAGATGCTCTCTCTGAAAGGAACTCAGACAAAGAGGTGGGTGTGGGAGGGAACAAAAGCTGGAAGCGATGGCTTCTTTATTGACAAATAGTCCAGTGAATAGTGAAAAGAAGAACTAGGATTGACAGGAGAGCAGTGTTCCAATATTTGAGGGGCTGCCACAAAGAAGTGGGGGGCCAACTTATTTTCCAAAGCACCAGAAGGCAAGACGAGAAGCAACCTGGAATTTGAGGAGAAACTTCCTAGCAGGGAGGACAATTAACCAAAGGAACAGAAGTTGCCTTCAGACGTTGTGGGTGCTTCATCATTGGAGATTTTAAAAGAAGACAACCATTTGTTGAAAATGATATCAGAATCTCCTGCTTAAGCAGAGAGCTGGACTGGAAGACTTCCAAGGCTCCTTCCAACTCTGTTTATTATTATTATTATTATTATTATTATTATTATTATTATTATTAAATTTTATTCAGTTTTCAAAATTTAAAAACATAAAATAAAATTTTATGCATCATTATATCAACATCAAGACATCTTTTACATTTCCTTATCATCTTTCTATATACACATTTCTTTCATTATACAATTCCAACTTAATATATAAATAAATATTGATATATATGAATATAGATATAAGTATTTATATAGTTTCTTATTCTTATTGTCATTTTGAATTCTTTTTATTCTTAAACCATTCATACCGAGCATCCCAGACATTATAATATATCAACTCTTCCAACTTTTTTTTCCCTACTCTGTTGTTCTATAAACCCTGATCCATTAATTGGTGGGACAGCTTCCCTGCAGAAGTTGTGGGTGCTCCAACATTGGAGGCTTTCAAGAAAAGATCAGACAACCACTTGTCTGGAAATGTTTTTTTGGTTTCCTGCTTGAGCAGGGTGGGGTTGGACTAGAAGACCTCCAAGGCCCCTTCCAATTCTGTCATTCTATTACTTAAGAAAAGAAGAACAAACTGGATAACTTTTTCAAAGCTCGAATTCTGTTAACTGTCCAGCTAATACATTCCTCTTCAGTAGAACAAGGATTGGCTTGGATAGCTTTCTTTTGTTTTTGAAGCAGCCATCTACTATTGTTCACTACTCCTCATGCACATAATTTTAGAAACACTTGAAAGGTAGTCCTTGACTTACAACCAGTTGTTTCTGGACTGTTCCAAAATACAATGGCACTGAAAAAAACTGCCTTGCAACCAGTTTTTATGCTTACGACCATTCCAGCATCCCCATGCTTAAAATTTGGATGCTTGGCAATGGGCACATATTTATGACGGTCGTAGTGTAACAGATAACAGATAATCAGAGTTGGAAGGGGCCTTATAGGTCATCTAGTCCAACCCCCTGCCCAAGAAGGAGACCCTACACCATTTCTGACAGATGGGAATCCAATCTTTTCTTGAAAGCCTCCAGGGATGAAGCTCCCACAACTTTTTTTAGTATTTAATATTTATTTGATTTGTCAGCCACTTACAAGACACAGGTATAAGAATAAATATAGTCTTCAATACATGAGATAGATACTTATAAGAAAAATTAAAAAAAATAGGACAGGGACAGTAGGCACGATTGGTGCGCTTATGCACGCCCCCTACAGGCCTCTTAGGAAGGGCATGAGGTCAATAGTAGACAGTTTAAGGTTAAAGTTTTTGGGTTAGGGTTAGGTTAACTTCTGAGGACAACTTCTGTTTCATGGGTTGATTCTTCTCACTGTCAGACAATTTTTCCTTATTTTTAGGCTGAATCTCTCCTTGTTCAGTTTCCTTCCACTATTCTTTGTCTTGCCTTCAGATGCTTTAGAAAATAGCTTGACCCCTTCTTCTCTGTGGCAGCCCCTTAAGTATTGGAAGACTGCCATCATGTCTCCCCTGGTCCTTCTCTTCACTAGACTAGCCAGGCCCAGTTCCTGCAACCGTTCATCATATGTTTTAGCCTCCAACCATCCCCTAATCATCCTGATTGCTCTTTTCTGTACTTTTTCTACAGTCTCAACCATCTTTTTTATAGTGTGGTGACCAAAACTGGATGCAGTACTTTAGCTGTGGCCTTACTAAGGCTTTATAGAGTGGTATTAGTACCTCCCTTGATCTTGACTGTGTCCCTCTGTTAATACAATTTAGGATTGCATTAGCTTTTTTGGCTGCTGCTGTCCACTAAGACTCCAAGATCCCTCTCACAGTTACTGCTATTAAGCCTGGTTTCACCCAGTCTATGTGTGTCCTTTTGTCCCAGGGATGTGTGTCATATGATTCCCTTGTTGTAACAAAGAGTGTGGCAAAGAGCAAAGAGTGTGATGAAGCCATTCATTTAACACAACTAATGTATTCCTCACTTCACAACTTCAGTGATTCACTTAGCAACAATGGCAAAGATGATGGTACAAAGGGGTTAAAACTCACTTAGCAACTGAACGTTCGGGCTCCATTCCATTCCTTGGAACACATGGTTGTAAGTCAAGGGCTATCTGCATTTTTGGAAGATCACAGGGTGATTCACTGGAATCCAAAATGCCTGTATTGGATTAGTAATATGTAGGTAATATGTTAATACACAGTTGTGTTTCTATCTTGTTAGTCTAACAAAGGGAGGCCTAAAATCTTAAGAAGGGAACCATTCTTCATCCCAGGAGCTTCCAAAGAATAGTAGTGGGGCTGTATACTTGGTGTAATTTAGGATCCTGCTTCCAAAATCTCATCAGCCTGCACAGTTAGGCAATTATGGCTTTCTACAATTCCTTTGGGTGATGTCAGATGAGTTACGGTAGATTGGAAAGCTACGGACAGTTATTGATTTATTAGATTTATATCGTGCTGGGCTGTTTACACCACAGTCAAAATGGCTTAGAGCAATTAAAAATGTAAATTACAGAGCATCTCTCACACACAAACACACACACAGGACTCCATTAAAATCATTCAAATCAAAATGATGAAATGATGAAAGATCTTGGTCTCACTGCTTTCAGATACTCTGGGA